AAGAATGCCATAGAATCATGTTGGAGGACCTAAAAATGCCTATAGGATCATCTTTTGTTGGGCATGGATAACGGAAACTGCAGATACCGATCCTTTAAACATTAGTAACATTCTTATGTTGGAAGTGATGTCATTTTTGCCTTTGTATAAATGTATGCTGATACTACATGTGCATATTATTATGACTTGCCATCTGATTGCATGTTGCCATAACGAGCAGATAAGCAGACCCTATAAATGTGGTGAAAATCCATAATGATAATAATAATAATGCTGTATTATTATTGTTATTATTATTTATTTATTTATTTACTTTGCTTATATACCGCTGTTCTCAGCCCAGGGGCGACTCACAGCGGTTTACAACATAGCGGTTATTATTATTATTATTATTATTATTATTATTATTATTATTATTATTTTACTGACACAAAACCACAGTATGTCACAGCAAATGAGATATATATATGAAATCCAGCATATATATCTCATTTGCTGTGACATACTGTGTTTTGTGTCAGTAAAACAACAACAACAACAATAATAATAGAGCTTTCTTTTCAAAGTCAGAATCGAAAACATATACGCATTATCATTAAATATAGGAGTATTACAAGTAAATAGTAAATAATGAAATCATTAAAAATCTTTCAAATTACCTAAACACTGGGATTGCAGAGATTGCAACTCCCATCAGCCCCAGCAAGCATAGCCAAAGCCTAGGTGGGAAGGTGAGAGTAATAATAATAATAATAATAATAATAATAATAATAATAATGCTTTATTTATACCGCGCCACCATCTCCCCAGAGGGGACTCGGGGTGGCTAACGTGAGGCCAAGCCCAACAATTACAACAAATCAAAATCGAATACATACAGTAAATGCGCTGACACGCGCTGGGCCTATAGCAATGGTCTTTTAAAACAGGACGTGCTCTTTGTGCCCAGCGGGACGCCAGGGTGCCTCGGCTGAGGGGCCCTATGGATTTTCCTAAACAAAGTCTTTAGAAACTTGGAAAGTTTAACAAAGTTCTTTATTGTTGCTTAGATCTTCAACAAAACACACAAATGCTTTTTAACTTGCCCACAAAGGACAGGCAGCTTGCTTCGTGAACTATTTCTTTCTTTTACAAGGAAAACCCTCCAACCCCTTCCTGGGCAAGCTGTCTTTAGGCTGGCTGGTGTGGGACCTTACTTCTGGATCCAATTTGCTTTTTGGGTACCTGGGTAAACTTTACCAGCCAAAACTTTTCCAGAGATTTGGATCTGTAAAAGACATTTGGATCTGTAAAACCGTTTTCTTCAGAAGCTTTAGGGCTGTCTTCCCCAGAGGCTTGTAGAGCTGTGAGGATGTAAGTTCCCCAGCCAGAGCTTTGAGGTCTTCCCCAGAAGCTTTGGGACTATTTTCCCCCGGAGCTTTGGGACTATTTTCCTCCGGAGCTTTGGGAGTATTTTCCCCCAGAGCTTTGGGACTATTTTCTCCCGGAGCTTTGGGAGTATTTTCCCCCGGAGCTTTGGGACTATTTTCTCCTGGAGCTTTGGGAGTATTTTTCCCGGGAGCTTTGGGACTATTTCCCCCCGGAGCTTTGGGACTATTTTCTCCTGGAGCTTTGGGACTATTTTTCCCCGGAGCTTTGGGACTATTTTCCCCCGGAGCTTTGGGACTATTTTCCCCCATAGCTTTGTAAGAAACTGAGCTTCTCTACAGGTGGGGAAAGCTCTCACATCCTGTAACTGAGCTTCTAAACTGTAAGACTGAACTAAAAACTTTCTTTTCCCTCCCAGAACCCTGGGGAAAGGGGCGGAACTAAAGAACTTAATGATGATAGGCAGGTGGCTGGTCCTATGGAACCACCCAACTGCAGAATGCATGGCCAAAACAAACACATGCATAGAAAGGAAATGTAGGCTTCTGGTACAGCTGTACCAGCACAGTAAATAATAACATTAAATAAAAATAAACAGAAAATTAATGCAAACTCTGGGTGAGATGGATGAGTAGAGTAGTGTGCCTGGTGGGACCAGACTTGCCAGGATGTGGTTAGACCAGGGGTCCTCAAACTACAGCCCGCGAGCCACTTCTGGCCCGCCAAGGGCACTTATCCGGCCTGCGGAGGAGGAGCACCCTCCCCCCACACACAGTACCCCTCCCTTGGCTGGCTCATGCTATCCGTCAGGCCTGATGGGCAGCATGAGCCAGCCAAGGGCGGCTGCCCCGCACAACCTACTTTTGCGTAAATTATCTCGCGAGGTGCTTTACGTGAGAGTAGGCCACACAGTGCTGCTCCTCCCTTGGCAGGCTCACGCTGCCCATCGCGCCCGATGGGCAGCGTGAGCCAGCCAAGGGAGGCTGCCCCAGCGCTCCATGCAGTCATGCCGGCCACATGACCTTGGAGGTGTCTATGGACAACGCCGGCTCTTCGACTTAGAAATGCAGATGAGCACCACACCCCAGAGTCAGACACGACTGGACTTCATGTCAGAGGAAAACCTTTAACTAGGAAAATTGTGGAAGATCCAAGGTGGGAGAAAGAACTCTTGTCTGTTGGAGGTAGGTATGAATGTTTCAATTGGCCACCTTGATGACCATTTCATAGCCTGACAGTTTTTAGGGAGAATCCTTTGTTGAGAGGTGATTAGCTGGCCCTGATTGTTTCTTGTCTGGAGTTCCCCTGTGTTTGAGTGTTGTTCTTTATTTACAGTTATAATTTTAGAGTTTTTTTTAATACTGGTTCAGATTTTGTTCAGACTGGAAATAGGAAGATTTCCCATTCTCTGCTCCTGGAATTACTGCCTAAAGAGGGCTAGAAAGAACCCCCTCTAAGGGCCCTTCCACACAGCCAAATAAGATATCTGCAATGTGCAGAGGAATTTTTTAATTGATTTTTTTTTAAAAAAAAACTATAGTCCAGCCCTCCAACGGTCTGAGGGACAGTGAACTGGCCTCCAGTTTAAAAAGTTCGATGACCCCTGGGTTAGACTATTTACTGAGATATCTTGTTAAATGGGACCTAAGTCTATATTGTAATGTGACCCCTTTATTCACAGATTCATTATCCACAGTTTCACTTACTTGTGCGCCACAAAATATCTGTCCCCCGGAAGTGTTAGTGGGCCTCCCTAGGTCCTCCAGTTCTATTCTATGGGATATTTTGTAATTATCTACTATGGGTTTGTTGTTATTGAAGAGGTCAGTAAGATCATACAGACATTTTCACCTGCCTGATGCTGTTTGAGAAAGTAGGGGGTGCCATGTGATCAGCAAATGAATAGTATGTTCTTTTTTGCCTGCTTAAGAGAAAAGTTACTTTTTGTATGCGTCACCACAGCTGATTTTTCTATACCAATAAGATATGTAGTGTCTTAAAAATGATTTGAATGTAAGCCAAGAGTATAAATGTTTTGTGTGAGCAGGCCACGGGGTCTTTGGGAATTTGAGTTGGAGTGGTCTACCCCAGAGACCCAGCCGGTCAAAATAAATCTGCATTTTTCTTTTCCCACTTCAAGTATGGCTTACCGCGTTTCCTAAGAACCAACCATAATGTTATCTGCTGATTCAGGTATCCATAGGAGATTTTGAAGCCTGTAAATACTGGGGTCATGCTGTACATTAAAAGGTATCAGAAACAATAAAGAATAGAGGAAAAAAGAATGTGAAATAAAAGCGAAAGAAAGAAAGAAAACAATGATTTCCGCTCATCTTTTCAGCAAATTATTTATTCCTATCTTATCCTCCAACATGAATACAGGTTGAACATCCTTATAAATTAATTCTCAGCTTTCTGGTAAATATAAATCAATCAGATTCCTTTAATAAAGTTCATTTCCTCCAGAACTCTAAACAAGAAATATTATTTATTTATTTATTTATACGCTTGTATACCGCTAATATCTCAGCCTAAGTCGGCGACTCATTGCGGTTTACAACAATTAAAAACAGTATTCAATTTAAAACATAAAACACATATACAATACAAATTATTGGGCCACCAATAATAATCCCATGCATCTCGTAACAAAAATCCCAATCCAGAATTCGTCGTCCATGATTACCAGTCCTTTAGTCATCAACATTCGATTACAACGAGTTAACCGAATGCTTGTTTAAACAACCATGTTTTCAATCTCTTCCAAAACACCATCAGCGAGGAGGCTGATCGTACCTCTAAAGGGAGGGTGTTCCAAAGCCGAGGGGCCACCACAGAAAAGGCCCTGTCTCTCGTTCCCGCCAGCCGCACTTGTGAAGCCGGCGGGATAGAGAGCAGGGACTCCCCAGAAGATCTTAGGGTCCTGGTGGGCTGATAGGCTGAGATACGTTCGGATAGATAAGTTGGGCCAGAACCGTTTAGGGCTTTAAAGGCCAACGCCAGCACTTTGAATTGAGCCCGGTAGCAGATCGGCAGCCAGTGGAGCTGGTGCAGCAGAGGAGTTGTGTGCTCCCTGCGCCCCGCTCCTGTTAGTATCATGGCTGCCGCCCGTTGGACTAATTGGAGCTTCCGGGCTGTCTTCAAAGGCAACCCCACGTAGAGAGCGTTGCAGTAGTCGAGGCGGGATGTAACCAGAGCGTGGACTACCGTGGCCAAGTCAGACTTCCCAAGGTACGGTCGCAGTTGGCGCACAAGTTTTAACTGTGCGAAAGCTCCCCTGGTCACCGCCGAAACCTGGGGTTCCAGGCTCAGCGATGAGTCCAGGATCACACCCAAACTGCGAACCTGCGTCTTCAGGGGGAGTGCGACCCCGTCTAACACAGGCTGTAACCCTATACCCTGTTCGGCCTTGAGACTAACCAGGAGTACCTCTGTCTTGTCTGGATTCAATTTCAATTTGTTCGCCCCCATCCAGACCGTCACAGCGGCCAAGCACCGGTTCAGGACCTCGACAGCCTCCTTAGTAGCAGGTGGAAAGGAGTGACAGAGTTGGACATCATCTGCGTACAGATGACACCGCACTCCGAAACTCCGGATGATCTCGCCCAGCGGCTTCATGTATGATGTTAAACAACATGGGAGACAGTATTGAACCCTGAGGAACCCCCAGTTCAAATTGTCAAAAGCCTTTTCTGTATCTAAAAAAATATAATGCGGCTTGCTTCTCATTGTGTTCTGGTAATTATTCCAAAGGTACTAACATTTGAAAAGCAGGCATGTTTTTTGAAACTATACCAGTAATACTGTAAACAAGGCATGAAATGAGAATTGCCACTTTAGCAAATGAGTGGGTGCCTTCATGTCTTCATTGACTCTTAGTTGTGTCTGTTCTTTGCACTGAAGACGTGTTTCTCTAACTCAGAAAGACGTCTTTCCAGAGAAAGCACTGCAGAGGAGAGAGGGGGGAAATTACAACAGTACAGACTGACCTCATACCGTTAAATAGATGGGAGACTGGTAAAACTATGAAATTTCACAAAATGGTATGATTTTAGAGAGCATCTACGCTGTCAAAATAATATAGTTCAACACCACCTTAGATGCCATAGCTCTGTATTACAAAATCCTAGGAGTTGCAGTCCATTGTAAATGATGAATTGTAATTTACATTTTACTAGTATTAGTCCCCTTGGGGAGATAGAGCGGAATATAAATAAATAAATAAATAAATAAATAAGATTTTGGGGTATATTTGACCTGCTGATGACAAAAATGGCTCTAATTTTTGAGATACAGAGCATATGCCACATTCCAGTCTTTATTTGCTCACCCATACAAAGCCATAATAACCCTGTATAAGAAACTAGAATGAATGTAGTCTATCCAATGCAATTTTCTGAGTAGGTACCCCCAAATAACATCAGGAACAGACACCAAGACATTTGTTTTTGATTTAGTTGTGTTGTTGTTATGATTATAGTTCTATCCCGCTTCCTTTCTTAAGCAATACTCAAACCAGCACTAGTTGGTCATAAATAGTTTCCCATACTTATGCCATAGCTTTGGGGTCAGGATGCTATCATGTCAAAACCAAAGTGGGTCCTACTCCTGTGATGGCAAACCTATGACGTGTGTCAGCACTGACATGCATAGTCATTTTCGATGACACGTGGCCTCCTGGACCAGCCCACACCAGAGCTCCCTGTCGGCCGTGGCCACCCCCAGCTCCTTCAACATCAAGCCAGTCATAGAATCATAGAATCAAAGAGTTGGAAGAGACCTCATGGGCCATCCAGTCCAACCTCATTCTGCCAAGAAGCAGGAATATTGCATTCAAATCACCCCTGACAGATGGCCATCCAGCCTCTGTTTAAAAGCTTCCAAAGGAGGAGCCTCCACCAGACTCCGGGGCAGAGAGTTCCACTGCTGAACAGCTCTCACAGTCAGGAAGTTCTTCCTCATGTTCAGATGGAATCTCCTCTCTTGTAGTTTGAAGCCATTGTTCCCTTGCGTCCTAGTCTCCAGGAAGCAGAAAACAAGCTTGCTCCCTCCTCCCTGTGGCTTCCTCTCACATATTTATACATGGCTATCATCTCTCCTCTCAGCCTTCTCTTCTTCAGGCTAAACATGCCCAGCTCCTTAAGCCGCTCCTCATAGGGCTTGTTCTCCAGACCTTTTATCATTTCAGTCGCCCTCCTCTGGACACATTCCAGCTTGTCAATATCTCTCTTGAATTGTGGTGCCCAGAATTGGACACAATATTCCAGGTGTGGTCTAACCAAAGCGGAATAGAGGAGCATTACTTCCCTAGATCTAGACACTATGCTCCTATTGATGCAGGCCAAAATCCCATTGGCTTTTTTTGCCGCCACATCACATTGTTGGCTCATGTTTAACTTGTTGTCCACGAGGACTCCAAGATCTTTTTCACACGTACTGCTCTCGAGCCAGGCCTCATCGTCCCCCATTCTGTATCTTTGCATTTCGTTTTTTCTGCCTAAGTGGAGTATCTTGCATTTGTCCCTGTTGAACTTCATTTTGTTAGTTTTGGCCCGTCATCTCTCTAATCTGTCAAGATCGTTTTGAATCCTGCTCCTGACCTCTGGAGTCTTGGCTCTCCCTCCCAATTTGGTGTCGTCTGCAAACTTGATGATCCTGCCTTCTAACCCTTCATCTAAGTCATTAATAAATATGTTGAACAGGACCGGGCCCAGGACGGAACCCTCGGCACTCCACTTGTCACTTCTTTCCAGGATGAAGAGGACTCATTGGTGAGCACCCTCTGGGTTCATCCATTTAACCAATTCCAGATCCACCTCACCGTAGTTTTGCCTAGCCCACATTGGATTAGTTTTGTTGCCAGAAGATCAGTCACTTCAAGGATCCCATCCATCTGCCTTGCCCTTGGTCGGCTCCTCTTCCTTTTTCCTTCCTATTTCCCCAGCATCATTGTCTTCTCTAAGCTTTCCTTTCTTCTTATGATGTTGCCAAAGGACTTCAACTTTGTCTCTAATATCATTCCCTCCAATGAGCAGTCGGGCTTTATTTCCTGAAGTATGGACTGGTTGGATCTTCTGGTGGTCCAAGGCACTCTCAGCATTTTCTTCTAACACCACAGTTCAAAAGCATCTCTCTTCCTTCGCTCAGTCTTCCCTATGGTCCAGCTCTCACATCCATAGGTGACTACGGGGAACACCATTGCTTTGACTATGCAGATCTTTTTTTGCCAGTGTGATGTCTCTACTCTTCACTATTCTATCAAGATTGGTCCTTGCTCTCCTCCCAAGAAGGAAGCATCTTCTGATTTCTTGGCTGCAGTCTGTATCTGCACTCACCTTTGTGCCTAGAAATACAAAGTCTGTCCACGTTTTCTCCCTCTATTTCCCAGTTGTCAATCAGTCTTATTGCCAGAATCTTGTTTTTTCCCCATGTTTAGCTTTTGCACTTTCTTCTTTCACCTTGGTTAAAAGGTAAAAAGATCCTCGGTTCCTCCTCGCTTTTGGCCATCAAAGTGGTATCATCTGCATATCTAAGGTTGTTAATGTTTCTTCCAGCAATTTTATCCCCAGCCTTGCATTCGACAAGCCCCGCACATCGCAGGATTAACCCCTATTTATGCTTATTAACCCTTCCCTTTCCTAAAAGAGGTTTATTAAATAGAGTTATATATTACAATTATAATTTTGTTATTTAAACTTTAAATATCGTAAAATTATGTGTGTGTTTTTCTCTCGAAGTGACACCCCCACCCGGGTTATACTCGGTGTTTTGACGAATTTCGACACACCAAACTCAGAAGGTTGCGCATCGTAGTTTCTCAAGTCGCTCCTAATACGACAAACAACAACAACAACACTGTCCTCGTGTTTTCATAGCCTGCAAATGCAAGGCTGGCCACTAGATGGTACCACTTCAACTCAGAAAGAGAAACTGACCTACGGCAAGAGAGTAGTCCTAAGTTTTCATGCAGAAACAGCCAAGTAGGAAGGGAAGGACTTACGTCTCTTGTCCAGAAGGTCCCGAAGCATGTTGAATCCCGAAGCTAAGTCCTCGGTGTCGGATTGAACCAAAGGCTCTTCTAGAGCAGAAAACAAATGTTTCAGCTGAGAGATTCTGTGTCACAGTGCAAGATTTGGTCATATGCCCTTTCTATGATTTTTTTAAGAATAAAGAAGTTTTTCATAATGTTTGCATGGATTCCCATTTCTTGTAATATGTACCGTATATACTCGAGTATAAGCCAACCCGGATATAAGCCGAGACACCTAATTTGGCCTCAAAAAAATAGGAAAACGTATTGACTCGAGTATAAGCCGAGGGAAATGGGAAATGAAGCCGGTAATGATAAATTTCAAAATAAAAATAGATACGAATACAATTAAATTAATTGAGGCATCAGTAGGTGAAATGTTTTTAATATTTACATAAAGCTGTAATTTGAAATAAGACTCTCCAATTCTGATTAAACCATCATTCTAACCTTCTTCAATGTAATTGTGCTTACGTATCCCTCCAATAATAATAATAATAGAGTAAAATAATAAATGTAATAAAAAATAACAGTTTATCAAGCAGTTGCCTGTCCCTTGTTGGCAGATCGAGAAAGCTACCAGTTTTTCAAGATTATATGAGTTTTTAATCATTTGTTCGAAGATTTAAGCCTTAGTAAAGAACTTTGTTGGACTTATTTTGAGCCTTTACAGAATTTTGTGTTGGGAAACCTGTGGGACCCTTTAGCTGAGGCACCCCGGCGTCCTGCTGGGCATACAGAAAGCACGTCCTATAAACAGCCATTGTCACAGGCCCAGCGCGCGACAACACAGTCATGGTGAAGCTTGTCAAAGGCCGTACTGAAATTATTCTGTCAACTATGCATGTAACTCGAAGGAGAACTTCTACCCAAAGTCTCTCTTGTCTATTAAGGAATCCCATTCATGCACTCACACACAACTTCCCATGAAAACAAAAGGAGATTGCAGCATAACCACCAACCAGACATACTTGGTAAGACAGTGAGCCAAGCAGAGCGAAAGGCAAAACTTGTCTTCTCCCCAGCATAACAGGAGTATTCCCCAGCATCCTCGGCTGTCACGTTGTGCAAATGGAGAACATCAAACGTTTTATTGGTGGTCTGCAAATGAAAAGGTTTTAGAGCATATTTATTACTGTCATTATTATCATTGTTATTCTAACTAATGGCCTCTCTAGGAATTTTCTAGGTCCTTCGGGTGATTCTATGATACGCTTTCCCTGGATAGAATCATAGAGTCATAAAATCCTTGAGTTGGAAGAGACCTCATGGGCCATCCAGTCCAACCCCTTTCTGCCAAGAAACAGGAATATTGCATTCACAGCACCCCCAACAGATGGCCACCCAGCCTTGGTTTAAAAGCCTCCAAAGAAGGAGCTGCCACTACGCAGGGCAGAGAGTTCCACTGCTGAACGGCTCTCACAGTCAGGAAGTTCTTCCTCATGTTCAGATGGAATCTCCTCTCTTGTAGTTTGAAGCCATTGTTCCATTGAGTCCTAGCCTCCAGGGCAGCAGAAGGCAAGTTCGCTCCCTCCTCCCCGTGGCTTCCTCTCACATATTTATTCATGGCTATCATATCTCCTCTCAGCCTTCTCTTCTTCAGGCTAAACATGCCCAGCTCCCTAAGCCGCTCCTCATAGGGCTTGTTCTCCAGACCCTTGATCATTTTAGTCGCCCTCCTCTGGACACATTCCAGCTTGTCAATATCTCTCTTGAATTGTGGTGCCCAGAATTGGACACAATATTCCAATCAGCTTCAGGCTTTGCATTTTACAGTTAACACACTCACCAACTGATTTCTTACATGCTCCAACATACATCTGAGGACCCACAGGTTGAGAACCACTGGCCTACAGAAATGGCCAAAAGATAGGATAAAACTGTTGCAAATTGGAAAACAGTGACTTTATTGGCTGGGGAATGAATGAGGAAGCTGGAGTTAGAGGAGGGATAAGAACTGCAGAAATAACGCAAATATATTTCTGGGTAACATAGCCAGGAATATATTTAAAGGAAGGCCTGTAACTTCAGATGTTTATTTATACCCTGCTTTTTCTCTCCACGAGGAGACTCAAAGGTACCAATGGCAAATATAGTGGTTTGAGTGTTGGAAAACATCTCCAGAGACCAGGGTTTGAGTCTGTGTTGAGCTACCCCTTTGGTGGCGCAGCGAGTTAAACCACTGAGCTGCTGAACTTGCTGATCGAAAGGTAGGCAGTTCGAATCTGGGGAGCAGGATGAGCACAGAGGATGGAGTGACAGCACCCTCCTGTGGCTGGATTCCAGCACAACCTCCAAGGTGCCAAAAAGCTGGACGTTGACACTGTCAGTGTATATTTTATGTATGTTTAAACGTAATTTTATGTAGTATGTTTAAATGTAATTTTATGTAGTAGGAATGTGATTGTAATAGAATTGTATTGCCAGGATGTATGTTTACACAGAAAGGTTAAACAGAGAAGTTACGGCTGTGAGAATGTGACCCTGAATTCTTGCCATGTGGAAGTTTAGGGAGTGCCAGAGATAACCTCCCTTCCAGCTGCAGTTTGTTTTAAGTGCCTATCGCTTTCATTTTGTGTTCTTCACGTCTGTCCGCTGATAGTGTATGTTGTATCTTTGAACTGCTCAAGTAAAGCTGAAACCTGTTTTTTACCGGAGACTCCAGAGTCCATTATTCAAACACAACATACCTCCTTTCTGTTCTGTCTGACTCTGTTCTGTCCAAAACGGCATTGAATATTTGCCGTGTATGAGTACTGTAATCGGCCCTGAGTCCCCTTCGGGGAGTTAGGGTGGAATATAAATAAAGTGTTGTTGTTGTTGTTAGGCCCAGCTTCTGCCAACCTAGCAGTTCAAAAACATGCAAATGCGAGTAGATCAATAGGTACCGCTTCTGTGGGAAGGTAACGGCACTCCATGCAGTCATGTTTGCCAAATGACCTTGGAGGTATCTATGGACAACACAGGCTCTTTAGCTTACAAATTGAGATGAGCACCAACGCCCAGAGTTGGACTCAACTATACTTAATGTCAGGGGAAAACCTTTACTTTTACCTTTATTTGGCCAAGAAAGCACAAAGTACCCCTGACAGGTGGGCACCCAGCCATTGTTTAGAAGGCAAGGGCAAACCTTCCCTGAAGAAATCTTGCCAAGAAAACCCTTTGAATGAAGCACAAACTCTTAAAAAAGCAAAGTGGGATGTTCCTTCAGATGGAAAAGGGTAGCCGAAGGAGCATCTACATACCAACCTTGAGAATGGTAATGTAAGGGTACCCATCTGGCCCAAATTTACTTCCATTGACCTCTTTAGGTTTCAGCCATTGCATAAAAAGGAGCCTCGTGCTGTAAGCTTTGCAAGTGAACTCCGCATCACTCCCAACCACCACAGTCTGGTTGGCTGGCAAACCCTCCTCCAAAGTCAGGCGTGGGATCGCATCCCCTGCATTGAAACAGAAGAATGTGAGTCAGAAGGTGGGGAAGAGAAGAAAGAGAAGAAGAAATAGGGGGAACAGGAGAAGAGGAGAAAAAAGAGGAAGAGAACCAGTAAGAGTAGAGGAGGAAGGGGAAGCAAGGAAAAGAAGAAGAGAGGAAAGAGAAGAAAAAGCAGAAGGGTGGAAGGAAGAGAAAGAGAAGAAGAAACAGGCGGGGGAGGAACAGGGGAAGATGACAAAATGAGAAGAAAATAAGGAGAACAAGGAAGGGAGGGGAGGAGGAGGAGACAAAGAAGAGAAGGAGAGGCTGAGATGAAAGAGAAGAAGAATTAGGAGAGGAAGAGAAGAAGGAAAATTAGAGAAAGAGGAGAAGGAAGAGGGGAAGAGGACAGAAAGGACTTTGTAAGGCCTGAGCAGAGAGACTGAGAGTTTTGCAAGACCTGAGCAGAGAGACAGATGACTTTGCAAGGCTTGAGAAAAGAGACAGAGGACTTTGCAAGGTCTGAGCAGAGAGAATGAGGACTTTGCAAGGCCTCAGAAGAGAGACAGAGGACTCTGCAAGGCCTGAGCAGAGAGACTGAGGACTTTGTAAGGTCTGAGCAGAGAGACTGAGGACTTTGCAAGGCTGAGCAGAGGGACTGAGGACTTTGCAAGGCCTGAGCAGAGAGACAGAGGACTTTGCAATGCCTGAGCAGAGAGACTGAGGACTTTGCAAGGCTTGAGAAGAGAGACAGAGGACTTTGCAAGGCTGAGCAGAGGGACTGAGGACTTTGTCAGGTCTGAGCAGAGAGACTGAGGACTTTGCAAGGCTGAGCAGAGGGACTGAGGACTTTGCAAGGCCTGAGCAGAGAGGCAGAGGACCTTGCAAGGCCTGAGCAAAGAGAGTGAAGTTTGCAAGGCCTGAGCAAGACAGAGGATCTAAGTGCAACATGGAGGAGTTTCATTTTATTGGGTTGAGACAACAAAGCCACAGGGCGAGCATTTACCAGTAGACAAGTAGTAGGTATGGCAAAGGACACCGTATCTGTTCCTCACTAGGCAGGTGTAATTCCCTCCGTCGGAGTGAGCGACATTCAATATCACCATGTACCAATGTTCTGGCCGTAGCTGCAGGGGAATCAAAGGATATTTCGTTATTGCTGGGATTCATACTCACAACTATAAATGGTAAGCCACTTTGTTTAGTTGTTGTTGGTATCCCACTTTCCCCTCTGAAATAAGAGTCAAAGCGGCTAGTAATAATAATACCCGGTGTTGCCCAGGTGTTATTGGGACCACTGCCTGCCTACTTTCTTCCTTCTCCAGCTCTGAGAAGGTCCACATCACAGTGTCTTCATTGGCAAGGCTCTGGCAAGGCTCTTTGGGATTCTGTCTTTCCTTCCTTTGTTTCCTGATACACCTTCTCCCTCTCTCTTTTCCTTCCTTCCTTCCTTCCTTCCTTTCTTTCTTTCTTTCTTTCTTTCTTTCTTTCTTTCTTTCTTTCTTTCTTTCTTTATTTCCTTGCTTTGTCTCACCTCTTCCATCCTTCTGTCCCTCCCTCCCTTCTTCCCTTCTTTCTCTTTCTTTCCTCCATGATATCTTTCCCCCATTCTTTTCTCTTCCTTCCTTTCCTTCCTCCACTCTTCTTTTTCTTCCTTTCCTTCCTTCCTCCATTCCACTCATAGCCATGTAATCTAGCAGCAGCCAATCTGTCGGACTCCCTTTCTTTCACAGTAACATCACAGAGGGCCACTTCACCTAGCAACAGCCAATTCACATTGTTGCTTTTCTTTCTCTCTGCTCTGGGCCTAAAAGGGGGGTAAAACATTTAAAAACACATAAAAACACTTAAAAACACAGTGGAAAGGACTTAAAAAGCCAAAAAAGCAAAAAGATGCTACAGTGCATGTGCATAAACGACTCCTCCAGCAAAAAACAACAACAACAACAACAACAACAACAACAACAACAAAACACACAAAGGCATATCCACACTCTCTTCTGGACTACAGCTCCCAGCATCCCCTAGACCAGGCCCTTTAGAAGAGGAAGAGGATCCAAATGCACTGCTTCCAAGATGCAAGCTTTCTTCTCCTTGGATTTCTTTGAGAGCATCCCAATCCCGGACTATTTCCAATTTTCTATTCCTGGACTGCAACTTCCAGCAATCCCCCTGAGAGATAGATTAGAGATAGGTAGGTAGATAGATTGATCAGGAGGACTGCTGGGAGTTTCAGTCCAAGAATAGGACTGTATCTTTGCATTTTGTTTTTTCTGTCTAAGTGGAGTATCTTGCATTTGTCCCTGTTGAACTTCATTTTGTTAGTTTTGGCCCATCTCTCTAATCTGTCAAGATCGTTTTGAATCCTACTCCTGTCCTCTGGAGTATTGGCTATCCCTCCCAATTTGGTGTCGTCTGCAAACTTGATGATCATGCCTTCTAACCCTTCATCTAAGTCATTAATAAAGATGTTGAACAGGACCGGGCCCAGGGGAACCCTGCGGCACTCCGCTCGTCACTTCTTTCCAAGATGAAGAGGAAGCATTGGGGAGAATCACCCTCTGGGTTCGTCCCTTTAACCAATTCCAGATCCACCTCACCGTAGTTTTGCCTAGCTCACATTGGACTAGATTCCTTGCCAGAAGGTCATGGGGGACCTTGTCGAAGGCCTTCCTGAAATCCAGGTACGCTACATCCACGGCATTCCCCGCATCTACCCAGCTTGTAACTCTATCGAAAAAGAGATCAGATTAGTCTGGCATGACTTGTTTTTGATAAATCCATGTTGACTATTAGCAATGACCGTATTTGTTTCTAAGTGTTTGCAGACCACTTCCTTAACAATCTTTTCCAGAAAAGGAAGGAAGGAAGGAAGGAAGGAAGGAAGGAAGGAAGGAAGGAAGGAATTAGCAATGACCGCATTTGTTTCTAAGTGTTTGCAGACCACTTCCTTAACAATCTTTTCCAGAATCTTGCCTGGTACTGACGTGAGGCTGACCGGACGGTAGTTGTTTGGGTCATCCTTTTTCCCTTCTTGAAGATTGGGACCACATTGGCCCTCCTCCAATCTGCTGGAACTTCTCCCGTTCTCCAAGAACTTCAAAGATGATTGCCAATGGTTCCGAAATGACTTCAGCTAGTTCCTTCAATACTCTTGGGTGTAGTTGATCTGGCCCCGGCGACTTGAACTCATTTAGAGCGGCCAGGTATTCCTGGACAACCTGTTTCCCAATTTGGGGTTGGATGTCCTCATCCACTCCATCTTGCTGAGGTTGAAGATGACCTTCTTTTTGTGAGAAGACCGAGGCAAAGAAGGCATTAAGTAGTTCTGCCTTTTCCCTATCATCCCCTGTCAGCATTGCCCCATCTTCTCCTTGAAGAGGCGCTATCGCCTCCTTGTTTTTCCTTTTTCTACTGACATAAGAATAGAAGCCCTTTTTATTGTTTTTAATGTCCCTGGCAAGCCTGAGCTCGTTTTGTGCTTTAGCCTTGCGGACCTTTTCCCTACAGGTGTTGGCTATTTGTTTGAATTCTTCTTTGGTGATTTCTCCCTTTTTCCACTTCTTGTGCATGTCTCTTTTGTGTCTTAGCACAGTTAGAAGTTCTTTGGATATACATTCTGGTTTCTTTGCACTTGTCCTATTTCTTCTCTTTGTTGGCACTGTTTGCAATTGCGCCTTGAGTATTTCACTCTTGAGAAACTCCCATCCATCTATAACTCCCTTGTCTTTTATTATCTGTGTCCACAGAATGCTGCTCAGTGTTTCCTTCAGTTTTTGGAAATCAGCTCTCCTAAAGTCCAGAATGCAGGTTTGACTTGTCTTAGTTTCGGCCTTCCTTTGTACCTCAAATTGCAGGGTTGTTTTGCCAGTTGATTGAGTTCTGGTTAATGGAGATTCTACTGAAAATAAGTGGAGCCACCAGTGGTGCAGTGGGTTAAACCTTTGTGCCGGCAGGACTGAACACCAACAAGTTGCAGGTTTGAATCTGGGGAGAGTGCAGATGAGCTCCCTCTGTCAGCTCCAGCTCCCCATGCGGGGACATGAGAGAAACCACCCACAAGGATGGTGAAACATCAAAACATCTGGGCATCCCCTGAACAACGTCCTTGCAGATGGCCAATTCTCTCACACCAGAGGCAACTTGCAGCTTCTCAAGTTGCTCCTCACACACACACACACACACACACACACACACAAAGCTCCTGACATGAAAAGAACTGTAAATAACTAAAGGAAGCCAGAGGAAAAGGGGGGTAACAAAATGTGACGCTGCACAAATGCCTTACTATCATGCGGCTCAATACATCCGGTTCTGTGATCCTTTTGCCATTTTTCAGCCAAGTGATGGAAGGCAATGGATGGCCACTGGCTTGGCAACGAAATGTGGCACTCTTTCCAACTGGAACAGGACCTATGTGTATCCGCTCGATATCAAGACCGCCCTTGGCAGGAACCGTCCAGAAAGGAGCGCCTGTAAGAACAAGAAACAACAACAACAACAAATTCAGGAATCAACTAAACACAAATCTCATTGCAATCCATTAAGCTACCCATTCAGTTCGAGCTGTTCTACCTAAAGGGGTGAGCTTTCGAATGGCAATACTTTTGAATGAAACTACTTATTTGGCACTAGCCACCCCCTGCCACGTGTTGCTGTGACCCAGTCTGTGTATATGTATTTTGTGTTTATATATATTTGTGTATATTTATTTATTTATTTATTTTATTTACTTTGCTTATATACCGCTGTATCTCAAGCCCGAAGGCGACATATAACAACATATAACAATTGACTTAACACATTATCCACTAATAACCAATAAGCAATTACTATGCACGATTATTACAAAAACCATACCCAGTCGTCTCATCATCCAAGCATAGTCCAGGTTCGTCGTCCATTGTTATGTTCAGTTACCAGATTGCACTAGATTACTCAAACGCCTGCACAAACATCCAGGTCTTCAACTTTCTTCGGAATGCCATGAGTATATGTGTATATATGTGTGTTTGCATATATATGTGTGTGTTTTTGTGCATGCGTTGCAATGTATGTTTTATTTTTTGGCTTTTCAAGTCTCTTCCACTGTGTTACAGAGGCAAGAAACTGAAAATCTCGTTTATTATTTATTATCAGCAACTGCTTGATTTGTCAATCTATTTTATAGGCCTGTAAACTCGAGGCCAAACAAAAATGTTTCTGTCAAAACGAGACCACAAGAGGAAAAGGTTTAAGAAGCCCTTATCTAGATGACCCTAGGGGGAACCTCCCAGCTCTAAGACCCCGATTCCAACCAGATTTCAGAACATGTCTTTGTGTCACAAACTTGGGATAGATCCATCGTCAGGTTCATCACCAAAATCTTCATCATCCTCGTCATCCAGCTGTGGAGACTCTTGAAAACAAAGGATGCAGGGGGGGGGGGAGGAGGAGGAGGAGGAGGAGGAGAGAAACGGGGGTTATTCTCATCATAAAAAGAGCTTCAGGCACATATATGCAGACTTCCCTTTCAACCTGTTTGTCTAGTTGTGGTTCCCTGGAAGCAGAGAGATTGCTGCTGCCCACAGATACTTGAGTGCTGCACCTTTGTTTCTAAGATCCACACCTTTGTTTGACACAGAACCAAACATTTGAGCTAATCAAAAGCCCATCAACATCTATATAAATAAAAATTTAATGTTTGTTTGTGGGATTAACATAACTCAAAAGCCACTGGACAAATTGACACCAAATTTGAACACTACATCCCTAACAGAGCAACAAGTGACCATCACTCATAACCCCCCCCCCCAAAAAAGAACAGTGGAAAGGACTTAAACCCCCCAAAAAAGCTAAATGACAATACAGAAAAAAGGGAAGGAAGAGGGAGAGAAGGAAGGGGAGAAAGAAAGATGACAGATAAAGAAAGCATGGAAGCAAAGAGCAAAGAAAGGAAAGAGGAAAAGAAAAGGGGGGAGGAAAGAAAGGAGTAGGGAAGGAAGGAAGGAGAGAAGGAAAGAAAAAAAATGAAAGGAAGGAAAGAGGGAGTGAAGGGAGAAGGGAAAGAGGTAGAGAAGAAGAATGAGAAAGAGGGAGGGAAGGAAAGAAGGAAAGACAGAAGGAAGGATGGAAGGAGAAAGCGAAGGAAGGAAAGAGGTAGAGAAGGAAGAAAGGAGAGAATGGGGAGGAAAAGAAAAAGGGAGGAAGGAAAGAGGTGGAGAAGGAAGGAAGAAAGGAGAGAAGTAAAGAAGAAAAGGGAAGGAAAGAGGGAGCGAAGGAAGAAGGGAAAGAGGTAGAGAAGGAAGAATGAGAAAGAGGGAGGGAAGGAAAGAAGGAAAGATGGAAGGATGGAAGGAGAAAGCAAAGGAAGGAAAGAGGTAGAGAAGGAAGAAAGGAGAGAAAGGGAAGGAAAAGAAAAAGGGAGGGAGGAGAGAAGTAAAGAAGAAAGGGGAAAGAAGGAAAGAGGGAGGGAAAGAAGGAGAGAAAGAGGGAGGGAAGGTTGGCCACAGCAAAGCGTGGCGGGTGCAGCTAGTATGCCTACTATTTGTTTTCCCTGGACCTGTCCTCCCTGGGGTGTTTCTGCAACTGATTTGTCCTTCACCCTGGCTGCCCTTCTCTCACCCAGCCAATCCTGGCACGGATCCTATCCAGCCTGTTTTCTGGCCAATCGTGGGAGAGGCAGTAAAACTGAATAGCTGTCAGAACTGTACAAGATGCCTTGTATTTCTCATGCTTGTACATTTTGAATGCTGTACTTGCATCCTTTTTGACCAAATCATAATAAACCTCTGTGGCTTTTCTTCAATTTGGTTTAGCATACGCTTGCCAGGCACAGATCCTCTTATCCGTGGTCCTCGTTATCTACTACAATCTAGTCCAATCCCATTGTGCCCTGCAGGAAAAGCACCACCAAAGCAACCTGAGAGATGGCCATCCAGACTCTGCGTCAAAAAAAGAGCCTCCTCCACACACTGAGGCAGAGAGTTCCACTGTTGAACCACTCTTCTTACAGTTAGGATGTTCTTCCTAATGTTCAGGATTAACATCTTTCCAGTCATTTGGACCTATAACTCTATAGAGCTCTTGTTACATCCCGACTGGATTACTGCAACGCACTAAAGGGTTGCCTTTGAAGACTGCTCGGAAACTCCAAATAGTCCAGCGGGAGGCAGCCAGATTGCTCACCGGAACGGCATACAGGGAGCATACCACCCCTCTGTTATGTCAGCTCCACTGGCTGCCGATCCAATTCCGAGCACAATTCAAAGTGCTGGTTTTGACCTACAAAACCCTATACGGTTCCGGCCCAGTGTATCTGTCCGAACGGATCTCTCTCTACATCCCACCTCGGAGTTTAAGATCTTCTGGGGAGGCCCTGCTCTCAACCCCGCCTCTATCACATGTGAGGCTGGCGGGGACGAGGAGCAAGGCCTTCTCGGGGGTGGCCCGTCACCTGTGGAATTCACTCCCCGGGGAGATTAGATCGGTGACTTCCCTCTTGTCATTTAGAAAAAAACTGAAAACTTGGATGTGGGACCAGGAGGCATTGGGACGTTCTGGCAGCTAGAGGAAGGACCTTGATGATGGACAGGAATTGACTGAATGGAATGGATTTATGGAACTCTGAACACTGAGCATGAGATTAGTGTACAGATTGTGTTATGTACTGATGATTTTAACCTGTTAATTGTTTCATTGCTGTTTTGTATGTATGTATATTTGGCATAGGCATCAAATTGTGCCTTTTTTTGCAAGCTGCCCTGAGTCCCCCCTCGGGGGTGAGAAGGGCAGGGTAGAAGTAACCGAAATAAATAAATGAATAAATAATAGTCTCCAGGGCAGCAGAGAACAAGCCTTTCTCCCTCTACCTTAGCACATATTAGCAAACCTGGCCCCTCTCATGCAGGATAAACATTACAACCCATTGCTCCCTTTCTCTATTTTGCTCCAAAGCTGATGGCCGGCCAATCCGCCCACTCTGGCCAAGTGGAATTGCGACATAGATTCATATAAAGACGTTACAACCTATGTTAATTTATTTACAGATGTTTCATAATATGTCCGTTCCAAGGCAGCCACAAAGGTCAGAAAAGTTTTTGTTGGACAGCATGTCCCACCGATCCTTAGCCTTCCTAAGGTGAAGAATGCTGGGAGACGCAGTCCAACAGTATCTGAACAACCACAGGATTTATATTATTCCTTCTGGGTTTTAATCTGAACTTTAAATGAGTCTTGGGGGTCCACTACTCAAAGGAGCTATTCAAGGTATTGAATGTTCTTGAGGGAAATGGGACTAGCATTTTGGACAGCTGCTTTAAAGCTTGGACTAAATCCCAGAGTGGATTCACTCCTAATACTCTGACAATGAAAGCCATGATAAGACTGCTGCCCTGGAGACTAGGACGCAATGGGACAATGGCTTCAAACTACAAGAAAGGAGATTCCATCTGAACATGAGGAAGAACTTCCTGACTGTGAGAGCCGTTCAGCAGTGGAACTCCCTGCCCCGGAGGGAGTGTGGTGGAGGCTCTTTCTTTGGAAGCTTTGAAACAGAGGCTGGATGGCCATCTGTTGGGGGTGCTTTGAAGGCAATATTCCTGCTTCTTAGCAGAATGGGGTTGGACTGGATGGCCCATGAGGTCTCTTCCAACTCTTTGAGTCTATGATTCTACGGAAGCATAGACTCCAAAAGGCCACTTACCTCCTCTGCAGATCGGAGGTTCTTGAAACTCTCTCGGGCTTTGGAGGAAAGAAAAGAGAGAAGGTGAGAATCCAGAATTATGCCTCATTTTGAGCTTCTTTCCAGGGCTTCTTTTTTAATGTAGCAGAAATTTGGTAGATTATGTAATTCAGTGTTTTTCCAACCTTTTTTTTTTTTTTTTGACCAGGAACCACTTTGACCAGGAACCACTCTCCAACATTAGTTCCAACAGGGTTACGAATCTGTTTTTGGTCCACTTTAGATTCGGTTTGTTTATTTGGGGTGCTAATTCAGAAAATTGCATTGGATAGACCACATCCGCTCTAGTTTCTGTTATAGAACATACACCATCCAGTAGTCGCCATCTGCTTGCCCACAGAAAACCAATCAACAACAATTGCTTTTCTATGTGTTTTCTAGGCTCTAACTTCTCATTTGTTGACTCCAGCAAGGAAAGCCAGCATGGCCTATTGCAGTGTTTCTCAACCTTCCTAATTCTGTGACCCCTGAATACAGTTCCTCCTGTTGTGGTGACCCCCAACCACAATATTATTTTTGTTGCTACTTCATAATTGTGCTACTGTTCTGAATCGTCATGTAAAGCTCTGATATGCAGGATGTATTTTCATTCACTGGACCAAATTTGGCACAAATACCCGATACGCCCAAATTTGAATACTGGTGGGGTTGGGTTGGGGATTGATTTTGTCATTTGGGATTTGTAGTTGCTGCTGGGATTTATAGTTCACCTACAATCAAAGAGCATTCTGAGCTCCACCAACGATGGGATTGAAACTAACTTGGCACACAGAACTCCCGTGACCAACAGAAAATACTGGATAGGCTTGGTGGGCATTGACCTTGAGTTTTGGAATTGTAGTTCACCTACCTCCAGAGAGCACTGTGGACTCAAGCAATGATGGATCCAGACCAAACTTGGCACAAATACTCAAATGTGAACACTGGTGGAGTTTGGGGAGAAATAGACCTTGACATTTGGGAGTTGCAGTTGCTGGGATTTATAGTTTACAGAGCTTTATAGAGATTTATAGAGCATTCCGAACCCCACCAACGATAGAATTGGGCCAAACTTCTCACACAGAACCTCCATGACCAACAGAAAATACTGGAGGGATTTGGGTGAACTGACATTGGTTTAGTGTAGTTCACCTACATCCAGAGAGCACTATAAACCCAAAAGACTGTGCCAAGGGGGTTCCTAAGACCATCAGAAATATGTGTTTTCTGATGGTCTTTGGTGATCCCTCTGAAACCCTCTCGCGACCCCCCCAGGGTTCCCGACCCCCAGGTTGAGAAACACTGGCCTATTGGTTTGAGCGTTGTACTGTGACTAAAGGATCTGGGTTCAAATCTCCATTGCTCAGCCATGGAAACCTACTGGTGACATCTCTCTGCTCCATAAAATTCCATGATACCCTTGCCTTAAGTTTACCATGTTTAGGAAACAACACCAAGTCACACAACAAGAACATCAACAAAATCTGACAGAGAAGTCGAACAGAATTGGGATAAAGCATCAGCTTACGGTTCTATTGTAGTTGCTGAGATGTCCCCAGAATGGAAGGAGAGCAGCAGGTGAAATATACCAAGCAACCTGAATATCAAACCATTCCTGCGCATGATGTTCTCTTATTCAGTGTTGTCCCTTTTTCTGATACTTTCCAACTGGCCTGAAATACTGGGAATGGATTGGGAATGGGCGGACCTGAGTCATAAAAGCAAACAGTGGAAGGAAGGAAACAGAGACAAGCAAACAGAAATTGGGAGGCAGAAGAGAGGTCATGGGATTGGAGAGCTGGGCCAAGACTAACACAACGAGTTCCAACAGGGAGAAATATTTGGGCTAAAATGGATTGTAAAAATGTGAACAATTAGAAAGCAATGAAGATATTACTTGGCTACGCATGGCTGTGTGTTCCCCATGAAGGCATCTAGAATTACTTAGAGTCCAGCAGCTGATCCTATCTCTATACTACACTCTTGTGGTTGCATCCAAGCACTGTAGAGGAGAGTCTACTGAACAAGACAGTACCTGCTGCAAGCCAAATGAAGCAGAGAGTGTTTGAGGACCGGGACATCCGTAGGGATACCCTCCCAAAAGATCTTAGACAGGCCCCTACATTGGCAGTCTTTAGAAAAAAAACTTGAAGACTTGGCTGTTCCGATGCGCCTTTCCAGAATAGGAATCTCCAATAACAAGTCCCAGAAACACTTTACCAGAACTAAGATTGTTGCACACTGCACACTGCACTTACCTTATAATCTCCACATACCACCTGTCACATCAGCACTTTTAATTCTGTACCCATTACTCTGGCCCGGCCCAGTTTTATAGTGTTTCGATGTATTGTTTATTGCATGTCGTTAATATTGCTTTAATTGTTTTAAATTTGCTTTAGGTGTTGTATTGTTGTGTTGTGTTTTGAGGCCTCGGCCTTTGTAAGCCGCATCGAGTCCGTCGGGAGATGCTAGCGGTGTACAAATAAAGATAATAATAATAAAGATAATAATAATAATAATAATAATAATAATAATAATAATAATAATACCAAGGTGCTTGTTTATAAAGCAATTGTCCTCCCAACCCTGCTATATGCCTGCAAGAGGTGTCTACAGGCGTCACATGCAGCTCCTGGAACGATTCCATCAGTGCTGCCTCCGGAAAATCCTGCAAATCTCTTGGGAAGACAAGCGAACAAACGTCAACGTGCTGGAAGAAGCAAAGACCACCAGCATTGAAGCAATGGTCCTCCTGACCACCGTCTCCCAAAGCAGTTGCTCTACTCTGAACTTAAGAACGGAAAACAGAACGTTGGTGGACAGGAAAAGAGATTTAAAGATGGCCTCAAAGCCAACCTTAAAATTTCTGGCATAGACACTGAGAACTGGGAAGCCCTGATCCTTGAGCGCTCCAGCTGGAGGTCAGCTGTGACCAGCAGTGCTGCAGAATTCAAGGAGGTACGAGTGGAGGGTGAAAGAGAGAAATGTGCCAGGAGGAAGGCGCGTCAAGCCAAACCCGACCGGGACCGCCTTCCACCTGGAAACCAATGCCCTCACTGCGGAAGAAGATGCAGAGCAAGGATAGGGCTCCACAGCCACATATGGACCCACAAGGAAACCCATAGCGGAAGACCATCTTATTTGTCCAACGAGGGATCGCCTAAGTAAGTAAGTAAGTAAGTAAGTAAGTAAGCTGCATACCAGTACTGCCGTCTGTTGAGAAGTTACAAAGGTCGAGGCATTACTTTTCATTCAACCCTCGTATAAATCATAAAAACAGATAGAGGCACATATACAGTGTTCATGGTATATATTGTCCCTATTTTGCGGTTTTTTACTTATCGTGGGTGGTCCTGGAACGTAACCCCCGCAATGAGTGAGGGAAGACTGTATATGTGTCTCTATCTGTTTGTCTGCCCTGTCTTCGTCTAATTGGCATTGAATTTTGCCATATATGTGTTCTGTGATCAGCTCAGAGTCCCCTTTGGGCAGAATATAAATACTGTAAATAAATAAATAAACCACAAGGATTAAAGTTCAAATGCTCATCATTCATGTTTTTAACTCTCAAATAAGATTCCCTTTGAATTTAAGTTCATCTTCTCTCATATCCGATATTCCTATTTCAACCACGTGTTTCTATCTAACGTTGCCTTCCCCTCCTATTTTTAATGCTCTGCTCCACTTTGGTTCTTGGTCAAGAGAGACTAGTGGAATAATACTAATAATACAGTTTAAACACCAGGATTAAAGTTCAAATTCTCATAATTTCACCTCAATATTCCCCCTGCCCCAGTATTTTCCCCTTTTCGATTAATCTGATCTAATATCACCTATTGCTATATTTCAGCCATTGATTTCCATATAATCTATTGTCTTTCTCAGTTAATTCTCAATATTCAACTATGTGTTCATTTCTTGTTTGCAGTTTGTTCTCCTGAGTCCTCATTTGACCTCATTTGAATCTCAGGTGCAAATCCTACCTGGCAATTCCAGGTAACCCCCCCCCCCCCAAGTGTGATGAATTTGAATTAATTTCCCAGTCCCCAAAGGGAACGTTTCTAATTTGTCTCTCTCTTTGACTATTATTCTTGGTTGCAAAGCTCAAATCAATGGCTTCTCCAATTTGCAGAGTCTCTAAGCCATTAAGTGTTGCTTTGGCACCTGATCCCTGTTGAAAATGGCCTTTTTCCCTAAAGAGCTTCTACTTACTTGGAAAAGTATTCTTGGATTATACTTTTCTTCTCCCTGTTGTTTGCCACGAACGAAACACCTGCTCCCAATATACCAAACTTTATGCCATCGAATAAAATGAAAGAGCTCAGGTTCATGCTTCAAAATATCCACTTTGACTCTCTTTTAAGATATTATTATTATTGATTGATTGATTGATTTATCGTGTCAGAAGCAAATTGTGGGTGCCGTTATTTATTTATTTATTTATTTATTTATTTATTCAGAGCTTTTGTATACCAGTCTTCTCGACCTCCGCAGAGGGACTCAGGCCGGTTCACAACAACAACATCATAACAATGGTTAAAAACATCACATCACATAATGTACTAAAACATTGAAATACAATCATATAATTATATAAGGCCAAGTTGTCCGCATAAAATCACAATTCATCATCGTCTGTCCGTGTGGTCACTAGTTATTAATTCACTCATTGAAAGCCAAGTTCCAAAGCCAGGTTTTCACCTGTCTTCTAAAAGTCAGGAGAGAAGGGGCAGATCTAATCTGCATCGGGAGAGAGTTCCAGAGTCGAGGGGCCACCACCGAGAAGGCCCTGTCCCTCGTCCCACCAGATGCGCTTGCGAAGATGGTGGGACCAAGAGCAGGGCCTCTCCAGAAGATCTTAACAATCTTGATGGTTCATAGGGGAGAATCCGTTCAGACAGGTAAACTTGGCCGGAGTCGTTTAGGGATTTATAGGTCAACACCAGCACTTTGAATTGTGCTCGGAAACTAATTGGCAGCCAGTGGAGCTGGCGCAACAGAGGAGTAGTGTGTTCCCTGTACCCTGCTCCTGTTAGCAATCTGGCTGCCGCTCATTGTACTAATTGGAGCTTCCGGGCAGTCTTCAAAGGCAACCCCACGTAGAGAGCGTTGCAGTAGTCTAAACGGGATGTAACCAGAGCATAGACCACCGTGGCCAAGTCAGGCTTCCCAAGGTACGTTATCATGTATTTAAAAACACAAGCAAAGTTAAAAACTTGCCATGATGCTAAATGTCCTTTGAGCAGAAGCTGTTCATTTGGAGTGCCTCTGGTGTCGCTGTGAGAAGGTCCTCCATTGTGCATGTGGCAGGACTCAGACCACATTGTAGTAGGTGGTCTGTGGTTTGCTCTTCTCTGCACTCGCATATCGTGGACTCCACTTTGACACGAGAGAACCCACTGTCTACTTTCGGGGTGAACTCGCGAACCAGGCCAGACTTTAAACCTGCCAGTGACAGCTGTTCATGTTTCCCGCCACAGTTAAACACCAATCAGCAGTGACGTTAAAAGGAATCTTCATCCAATAGGAGCCCAGATCCAACTGCACCGCTTTTCAGCCAATCAAAGGCTTACATGGGAATGCTGAATATGAAATGATAAAATGTCTTGTGTTCCTCCATGTATTTAGATTAGATCTTTGAGAGCACAGACTCTATTCTGATCTTCCTTTGGACCCAATTGAATAAATGTATGTTCTTTTCCCCTCAAACTGGTGTGTTTGTAACTCAATTGGGATAGTGGAGCTCGCCGGGACCTGACCCACATTTTAGTGGAGCTGAAATCACTCAACAGGCTGGTAGGTTGCATTCATTCAACGGTATAGATGCACCCTCAAAGAAAGAAATAATGGCAAAAGAAGGGGGGGGGGGGACAAAGGAATAAGGAAAGGCAAATGCAGAAAGGAATTTAGGGCTTCTCACTTTATTTGTTTTATTATTACTTTTTAATTCATGCTGTTCCTCCTATAATGGGACTCAGTGGGGGGAACAATACAATGCCCTGAACAAAAAGCAAAATCAAAATAAACATATAACTAGGTGATAAAAACAAAGCTATTGTTCAATTGAAACATTTCACATTAAAATATTGAAACACACTTCCAAAGCTACTTAAAACCCCTTGTATTGATCACATTCATTGTACCCACAAGGCGAGTCTGAGAGACTGGCAAGGGCGAAAGGAGGGTCTTGCCCGAAGATCGAAGGGTACGGGCTGGTTCATAGAGAGAGATGCGGTCATGAAGGTAGGCGGGTCCCAAACCGTTTAGGGCTTTATAGGTAAGAGCCTGTACCTTGAGTTGGGACTGGAAGATGAACGGCAGCCAATGGAACTCCCTAAACAGGGGGGTGGACCACTCCCTGTAAGTTGCCCCAGTTATTAATCTGGCTGCCGACCGTTGGATAAGTTGTAATTTCCGGGCCGTCTTCAAGGGTAGCCCCATGTAGAGAGCAGTCTAGAGGTAACTAAAGCATGGACCACCACGGGGTAAGGTCGTAGTTGGCGCACGAGTTTTAATTGTGCGAAGGTTCTCCTGGCCACCGCCAACACCTGCGCATCAAGCGACAGCGCTGAGTCCAGGAGGACCCCCAAACTGCAGACCTGTGACTTCAGGGGGAGTGCAACCCCGTCCAGCACAGGTTGCCACCCAATACCCCGATCAGACGGACGACTGACCTGGAGGACCTCTGTCTTG